CATTCCTTGCCAAAGTTGACCATGGGTTGGGCGGTGGTCTTCCTTGCGCTCCTCACTTACTGCACAGGTAAAGCTTTCCTGGGTTGAGAGAGGATTTGATTGTGATTCTCATAAGAGTTTGGTCCCTTGGAAAAGTCTCAGAGCAAAGGACGGTGCATCAGTTTCACAGTGTTTCTTTCTTTCTCTCCCCTCCTTCTTTCAAGGCATCGATGCTCAGTCCTCTTGGAGTCAGCCTCCCTCCAGCTCCGTGCCCTTAGGTGAAACCATTACAATCTCCTGCTTAACCGAGAGTACCCACGCCATTAACTGGTTCCAACAGAAAGCAGGAAAAGGCCCTCGCTTTGTCCACTGTGATGGTTGCAGCAACAAGGGAGAAGGGATCCCAAATCGCTTCACTGCCACCAGATCTGGGACTACAGGATCTTTGGCCATCACCAATGTGGAGTATGAAGATGAGGCAGATTATTACTGTTTGAGCTGGAACACAGCAGTTACACAGTTGCACGGTGGTGAATTCCTATGGGGAAGTGTGGCAAAAACCTTCACCCTTCCTCTTCAACTTGAAACCACGTGCAACGTACCTTGATCTATGACTGGGGACGCTTGAGCTGAAGAGACCGGAGAGGAACGTCTGTAGGCTCATCTGCCTCTGCAGAGAAGTCTCTCAGTGCCCAGCTCAATGCCCAGTTGCTACAATATCAGTGACCAACAGAGGCGGCTGCTGCCCTTTCATGGTTCTTCTAAAAATGACTTAAACAAAAGGGTGGGCAGATGTGGCTCCTGCAAAGTCCCATCTCTTCCTCCAGAGTAAGGGCACTGGTCCTCACAGAAAAGGTGAAATATGCAGGATAAAAGGAAATGGTTTAAGCCCACAATCTCTGCTTCTAGTGGCTTGTTCCAAAAACAAAGAAAACCGAATAGGGTGATTGCTTATGCAGAATGTCTTCTTCTTCCTCAGAGAAAAAAACAATCCAGTTACCTTTAGGAAAAGATCTTTGAGACAATTATGACCTGGGTGAATGGGAATCTCCACAGACATTGGTCCCAAATTTGGCCTCTCGTGTTCATTGACTCAACTAGAAAACCCCATAATGCTTTTGGGGAATAAAATAGTCTAGCGGAACCAATGAGTGCAGATCTCATTTGCATGAAAGGAGAAAGCAGGGGCATTTAAGGAAAGGGAGGGAGAAGATCTGAAGAAGGTTATAGTTTTCTTCCCTAGAAGGACATTTCTTGCCAATGTTGGCCATGGGTTGGGCGGTGGTCTTCCTTGTGCTCCTCACTTACTGCACAGGTAAAACTTTCCTGGGCCGAGAGACAATTTGGTTGTGATTCTCAAAACAATTTGCACCCTTCTAAACAGCTCAGAGCAAAGGAAGATGTGTCAGTTTAACAGTATTTCTTCCTCCTTCTTCCCTCACTCTTTCTCTCTCTCTCTCTCTCTCCCTCTACCCCTTTAAAGGCATCAATGGTCAGTCCACTTGGACTCAACCTCCCTCCAGCTCCGTCTCCCTGGGTGAATCCGTTACGATCTCCTGCAAAACAACTCAGAGTTCCTACTGCATTGGCTGGTATCAACAGAAACCTGGAGAAGCTCCTCGCTATGTCCAATGTAGCGGATACAGCAGGGGAGAAGGGATCCCAGATCGGTTCACTGCCACCAAATCTGGGAGTACAGGATCTTTGGCCATCACCAATGTGCAGGCTGAAGACGAGGCAATTTATTACTGCGGCAGCTGGAACAGTGCAGTTACCCAGTTGCACGGTGGTGAACTCTTATGGGGAAGTGTGGCAAAAACCTTCGCTCTTCTTCTTCAGACTGAAACCAGATGCAAAGTACCTTGATCTGTGACTGGGGACGCTTGAGCTGAAGAGACAGGAGAGAAACATCTGTAGGCTCATCTGGATCTGCAGAGAGGTCTCTCAGCAAGAGGGATGATGGGCGCAGAAGTGTGGATGAGAAGGGTGGAGGTGAAGCCCACAGATCCACGGTCTCAGCCTTCTGCGGTATAAGTGCAAATTATTATGAGTGGAGAAAAAGTAAAATTGGAGAAGACAAAGAGGATTTACAAGTGCTTCAGCGCAAGATTGGAAATGGGAGAAAAGAGATTGTATGAGGACAGAGCATTAAAAAGTGGTTCCTGGGACAGGTTTGCACCAATGAGTTGTGGAAGCATGGATGAACTCTTAGTAAAGATTGATGCAGTAATGCGTGGTTCTCCCTACATTAGAGGTTGAACCGAGGAGACCACGTGCTAAAGCTCTGCTTCCTAGGAGAAATGAACCAGCCACTAAAAATATGAAACTCTTCTGATGAGAGATACTGTACATCCTTCACCTCAACCTCAAGCCTACCACTAAAGTGAAGACGGGCAAGCACAGGGAAGCATGACAAAACATAGATATAGCGTCGACCGGAAGTGTCTTTTTTGAAATCCAAGCATTAAAATGTTCCATTCTTGCCATCTTTCATTTCCTTCTTGTTTTTCCTGTCTGTTCTCTGATAGTTGAGGAGAAGGAGGAGGATGGTCCTCAAAGGAGGCCAAAAGCTG